GTAGAGATGAGGTCTCGCTGCCCAGGCGGGTCTCGAACCCGGGAAGATAGTATTTCAAGACCGAGCAGCAGAGCTGGGATTTGGACCCACATCTCTGCAGCTTTAAAGTCGAATTCTTTTCATTATGCTGCAGTGCCTTGGGTTTGGGCTGTGCTAAAGTGTCAGGGAAGACTGCTGGGACAAGGGCTAGAGGGAAAGAGGCAATCCAGACGTGAGGAACAGCTGGGACAGAGGTGTGGGTGTTGAGATGTGCAGGGCGAGCCTGGAAGCCAGAAGAGAGAGTACTGGAAGAGGGCAGAGGTAGGAGACAGGGAGGGGTTGAACTGCTCAGGATGAGATACACAGAGGGTCAGCGAGCATTAGTAGGAGTAGAGCAATAACTATCGCCACTCAGCCCCTCGAGGTTTTTTGAGTCGGAGTCTCACTCCGTAGCCCAGACTGGAGTGCAGTGCAGTGGCCACTCCCGGCCACCGCAGCCTCGACCTTCTGGGCTCCGGCGATCCTTCGGCCTCAGACTTCCAAGTAGCCGGAATTACAGGCATGCGCTACCACGCCCAGCTGATTTTTCGGTTTATTGTAGAGATGAGGTCTCGCTGCCCAGGCGGGTCTCGAACCCGCGGGCTCAGACAATCCACTCATCTCAGCCTCCCAAAGGCGCGGGATTACAGGCTGAGCCACCAAGCCCGGCTTCGACCTTCTTTCTTGCCACTGCCCCATCCCCCCACAGCCCCTCTCAACTCCTCACCACCTCCCCCTTGCCTGGTCTCACACCTCTCCCTTCTCTACCCGCAGAGCCCCTCCTCACCCTTCGAGGCCTCTCTCAAAGGTCACCACCTCCCCCAGGGAACCTTCTGGGCCCCTAGTCAGAAACGTGGCTTCCTCCATGTCCCCAGCTCTGTGGCAGTGACTCTGCCAGCACGTACTGCACTGTCCCTCCAGGACTCCTGGGGACACTCCATCCTTCATGCATCCTGCTGCTGTCTTTCTTCCTTTTCCTCAGTGTGATCTGGAGGTGTCGGCTCAGTGCCACCACACCGCAGTCTCCAGGATCTCCTCGGTGGGGGGAGCACCAAGTCCAGCTGCCAGACACGAACTGACC